TTTAACTTACTTTCATATAGTACAGAAAAAGCATATACATTTATAGAGACATAAAAAATATATGGCAAAATGTTAATAATTGTTAAATTTAGGCTGAGGATATAAAGATTTTGCTGTAATATATTTTCAGTATGGAAAAAATTTTAAATTAAAAATTAAAATAAGAGGAAGAGGTACCTTGTCAAAGAAACTAAGTGAGAAATGACCCAAGAGAACCTTTGCTCTCTGGCTAGACGACACAAAGTGGCAAAGGTAGAAAGCCAGGCGACACCCCCCTCCCTTTCCCCCGCAGCAGAAATACACTGAAGGTTTGTTTCTTCCTACTCCCTTTCTTCCAGAATTAGAACTTACGCCTGTTGGGAAGACAGAAAACTCCTGTCATACCGTTCTCAACCATCATCGCCGCTCGAGGGTCCTTTGGAATGTTTTCCTCAAGTGCGGGCTGGAGGGAGCACCCCTCTGAAGCATGCTTCAAACGCTCGGGGTCTGCTCTCTTGAACTGCTGCATTCGCTGTACGACCATCTCAGCTGCCCGGGGTTTGGAGGGACTTGGCACTGTAGCAGTCAGACAGGGAGGAGGCTGGGAGTCACCGTTAGGAGCAGCCTCTGCAGAGGAAGATATTCACGTGTCTGTTCTAGCTGGAGAAACAAAAGACTCTGTCTCTGAATATAGGTCAGACCGGAGTTTCAAAGGGGTCCTTTAGCAATTAGTTTAGGTTTAACTCTCAAGTGTGAATAGGACTGATTGTTGGTAACCTCACTGTTTACAGTAATATCAATGTACCTGTCACAGGCAGGAAAGGGAATGGAGAGTGACTGCTAATGAGCACAGGGTTTATTCTGGGGTGATGAATATGTTCTAAAATTAGGTAGTGGTGATAGTTGCACAACTCTGTAAATATACTAAAACCATTGAACTGTACACTTTAAAGGAGCAAATTTTATAGAATATGAATATCTATTAAACTGTTATTAAAGAAATATTAATGACAAACATATCTTTCTAGGTCAGAAGTTCTCCTTTAACTTGGTGTCCACAGAGGCCTCCAATGGGGATCTGTGAAGTCCCTGAAGTTATACGTCAATTTTGCAGGTATATGTGGGGGTGCAGTTTTCTGGGGGAATCATGCATACCTTCACTAGACTCTCAGACGGAACATGCGGGACCAACAACATTTCAGCAACGTTACTGAAGCCTTACTACAGTCTCTGTGATCTAAGACCTTACCACCACTCCACTGAGCGGTCATGCTGACCACACTGGGTTAAAAAACACATTAAAATCAGGAAGTGAAGGTGAGAAAAATGTAGAAACACAACTCAGGTGCCCAAAGACCTAGTGCTGAATTATATATGCAAAGTGGTTTTCAGCTGTGCATGAAGAATGTATGCTAAGCATATGGTTTAGTACATCAAGGGCAGGAGAGTAAGAAAGCTACAAACAAAGTGCTCCTCTTCCCCATCCCCCCAAAAAATATGGAAAAGAGTTGTTTGGAGGAGAAAGCAAGAACTGAAGATTCTCCTGGAACATATGGTACCCACTGTGAAACAAACTCAAGAAAATAGGAGAAGCAGCATTATTTTCATGTTCATGTAACTCATGTCTACTAGTATAATGTAAACATTAATAGGAAATGAAAAAGAAGAGAGCCCCAAACATAATCGTGTGAGAAATTCACACACGGCTATTTTTTTATGACTATCATTTAAAACAGGAGTCGGCAAACTATGGTCCAGGGCTGCCTATTGTAGTAAATGAAGTTTTGTTGGAACACAGTTCATTTACTTACTATTGTCTAGGGAGTTGGGTATTGACAGAGACCATACGGCCTGTAAAGCCAAAGAAATTTACTACATGGCCCTTTACAGAAAATTTTCCAACTCTTGGTTTAAAATAGTACAAATCACCTCTGGTTTCCTCTGTGGAAGTTCCGGCAATGTTCCTGCCTGGGTTACCTGGCTGCGTGCTCCATGCACCCCTCCAGAGCATCGCAGAAGCAAGCACACTTCCCTCTCCGTTCTCAGAGGGTGCTGGCTCACCCTCCTGCCTCGTGGGTGCCCCTTGCTTTTTTGTCCTGGTGGCCTGGCTACCAGATCGAGGTTTCCTCTCCCTGGGGCCTTTAAGGGTTTTGCTCTTGGTAGCAGCTGGTTTGCTGGTTGGCTGAGTGACGTTTGAGGACTTTTTTGTCTTCCTTTCCCCTGACACTTCCTTGGTGCCATTCTTTTTCACCCTTTGGAAAAAACTGGCACAGAGTTCCTTAAAGTCGTCGTCTGACTCATCCATCATCCAACCAGTTTCAAGGCTTTCAAGCTTGTTTTCGGAGGAGTGTAGGTCAATCTGGGGGTCCAAGAATGAGCCTAGCTGGGCCTCATTCGGAATCACAGCTTCATTAGGGTTCCTCTTTAATTCTCACTGAGATACCTGGAGAGTTTGCAAAATCAAATAAAAAGTACTTTTTCCCTCCATAATAATTTAAAATGTCTTTCTTCAAATTGTGCCTGTGTTAAACAGCATGTTTAAGCTTCCACCTGTTAAAGTTCACATTTGAGAGGTTTTGTTGCCCAATAGATGCCTCTGAGATAGAATACAATGAACTTGTTGCTCAGGCGATTCTTCAACATCTCCATGGTGATAAAGAACATTTAGTTCATTTAATTTCACATCTGTGGAAAAACAAAAGCATATAATGTAATTAGACAGATATTGTCATTTCATGCCATTTCTTCCAGGAGTATGTGGAGTATAGGAGTAACAATGTCTCTGTCAATACTCAGGGACAGTCTGATTAACACAGAGCCGTCATCCTATAACATAGGACATAACAGCACAACCCATGGGATATGGGGGGGGGGGGTCCTAGAAATCTATCAAAGCATGTTCTTTCACAGGCAGAAAATCTTGGGCATCTTGAAAGAATATTGTTTTTTGTTTGTTTGTTTTTTTAATATATTTTATTGATTTTTTACAGAGAGGAAGAGAGAGGGATAGAGAGTTAGAAACATCGATGAGAGAGATCATCGACCTCTACTGGGGATGTGCCCACAACTAAGGTACATGCCCTTGACCGGAATCGAACCTGGGACCTTTCAGTCCGCAGGCTGACGCTCTATCTACTGAGCCAAACTGGTCTCAGCCGAAAGAGTATTGTTTTTGCTAAAATCTAGGGAATGAATTCCATGAAGGGCAGTCAGCACAAAAACATGATGATTCCCAAATCCAGAAAAACTATCAGAGGCTCTATCAGCAGGCAATGTAATGACAGAGAGAGAGAGAGAGAGAGAGAGAGAGAGAGAGAGAGGGAGGGGAATGAATATGCCCTTGAACACTCAGGAGATAGGGACAAAGATAGGAACACAGGAGACTCATCCTTCATTGATCAACCAATTTTCCAAGTAAAAAAAGGCCACTTTCCCATCCTCTCACCCCAGAAAGAGCTCTCCAAACTCAGGTTGCTAGAATGCTGCCCAACGCAAAGGTTAGGCCTTATGGGCATGATTATTTACATCAGCACTGTTTAGTGGGTTTTCAAAAATCAAAACTGAATGACTCAATGGCAGAAAGTTTATTTCAAATCCAATAATGCAATCTCCGCTATCCAGTTAATCCAATTAATCACCTAGTTTTCCTGAGCTGGGCAGACACACCGACCTCAACTCTACTTAGCATGGCTGACTCATTCACATCTTCTATGAAACTCTTTAGAGAAGCTTCCCTTCATCCTTTATCTAAGTACAACCTCTCCACCTCTATTGTTTTCTTTCATCACACAGTTTTCACAACAGCATCTATCACAAGTTACAATCATATGGAATAGATAACATTTAATGAATGATTGCTGTATGTCAAGCACCAGTCCAATTGCTTTACAAGTCTAATTCATTGCATCCTTATAACAATCCAATTGCATAGAATCTGTCATCCCTTCTTTACAGCAAGGAATCAAGCACATGAACACAGCTTTTGAAGTGGCAGAGCTGGGATCAGATCCAGGCAGTATGGTTCCAGGGCATCAGTTCTTGTGTTTTTATTCATTTACTTGTTATCTGCCACTTACTAAGCTCAAAACTTGAGGAGGGCACAGATTCACCTATTTTACTTCATATTCTCTTTGGCTGACAGGCATCTGACTTGGAAAAGGTGATCGACAATTATTTGTCTAATTAACTGCAAAGAGTTTGCTTATAATCAGAGCGAAGAGACAGTGGGGATCCGAGAGAAGGCTTCAGGGAGAAACTGAGGTCAGTGTCTTAGTGATTGAAACGTCAGGCTGACCACACTGAATTTCATCCTATTGGATGCGGTGAGCTAAAGCAAGCTCCACCCTCCGCACAGCTCTGTCTCCACATCTCCGTTGTTAAAACAGTCTCTCTCCTATACGTACTCAATCGGCATTTGCTTAAGGCAGCAGCGGCTCCTAGGAGACGGCGAGTTCCCAGAGAGCCCGCGACCTGTGCCTCCTCAGGGCTGTACCTACCGCGGCGCCGAGCTCACAGCACAGGCGGGATGAATAGGCAGGTGAGGGGCGGGCCCTCCTGCCCCCGCCCCCGCCCCCCTCAACCGGCGACACAAGGGAAACCGGCAGGAGACTCCGCCTGAAGAGATGCTGCTACGGACTCTGACCGCGAACTACGATCGCCTAACGGACCCCCGGGCAGCGACTCCGTGTGGATCCCGATGCCCCCACCTGTCCTCCCTGCAGACAGCCCCGGTCTCCTCCACCCAAGCGCGGCTCCTGCATTTACCCGCGGCTGGAAACGGTCGAAAAACGGTCCTCTGCCTCCGGAGAGCGAAAAAGGCCCGAGTGTTTGGACCTTCTCCCAGTTACAGACTCCCTAGCCCCAAAGCCCGGCCCCTCCTACCTCCGGCGCCGCCGCCGCGGCACCCTCTCAACGTAGAGCCTCGAGCCTGCGCATGCGCCGCCCGGCTCCCCCGCTGACAATTGCGCAGGCGCAGAGCGGCCGGGGAGCTTTGCTTCCCGTCGTCCTCTGCGGCCCGGGCGCGCGGCGAAGAGTGGTTCCGGAGGGCGTGAGGCGGTGCGAGGCCGGGCGCGGCGGTAACGATAAATAATTTAAATATAGATAATTCACCGCAGGGCTGGACGGTGTCTGGAGCTGCTAGTGCAGTGGCGCCCGGCAAAGCCTATTAAAAGTTGAGAAGTCGGGGTGAGTTCAGGACCACGTCACAGTTTTAAGTTGAAGTTCGGGCCCGCCACTGTTCACAGGACATGTTTGCCCATTCAGTGGCGGCCCCCAGAGCGCACCCGCCCGAGGAACCGACGAGTAAACGGAGGCAGGGGGGTCGGGAGACCCGCCGAACGAGGCCTGACGGGGCGGGAGAGCTTCCTTCCCGGAGGTGGTAAACAGGTGGAGGCCTGGGGTCCGTGGGCGTTAGCTGGAGAGTCGTCCTGTGCGTGCTGAAGCTGGGGTGATAACTGTGGTCTCCAGCCTGGCTGGAGGGGTTTGCCCTGGGCCGAAATTTGAAGTTTATAAATCCCATTAAGGTTTTGAACTTCAACCTGGGTCAGAGGGAGCCATTGAAGATTCTGTTTTTAAAAGACGTTCTAGTCGCAGTGTGAAAATGGATCTGGAGTGGCAAGACTCAGGAGGCCCATTAGGAAGCTGCTATAATCTGGGTGGGAAATGAGGATGGCCTGAGGTAGCATTTGGAGTGGAGAGAATGAAGAAATATATTAAAACGTTTGAATTGTCATGACCTAATGATTTGTTACAATTTAGGTTTTCACCCGAGCACCTGAATAGAATGTGGTCCCAACTACTGAAATAATGGAACACAGGAAGAGTATGTTTGGAGGGAAGAGAATAATACGTAGAGGTTTTTAAAATACAAATATATAACAATAAAGATTAATTATATGTAATTCACATATAAAATTAACCCTTTTAAAGTGTATGATTCAGTGGTTTTTAGAAGGTTTACAAGGTTGTGCAACCGTCATCACTGTCTAATTCTAGGACATTTTATAACCCCAAATAGAAATCTTTGTACCATTAACAGTCACTCCCCTTACTTCATCCCCTAGTAATGACAAATGTGTTCTGTTTCTATGGATTTGCCTATTCTGTACATTTTACACAAAAGGATTCATACAATATGTGGCCTTTTCTGTCTGGCTTTTAACATCCTGTTCATGTAGCATGCATCAGTTCATTTAATGGCTGGATAATATTTCCTTGTATGGATATACCACATTTTGTTTATTACCAGTTGATGAACATTTGGGCTGTTTCTGCTTTTTGGCTCTTATAAATAATGCTGCTGTGAACATTCATGTAAAAGGTGTGTGTGTGTGTGTGTGTGTGTGTTTTGTTGTTAATTCTCACCCAAGGATATTTTTCCCCATTTTTTAGAGAGAGTGGGAGGGGGGAAGACAGAGAAAGAAACATTGATGTGATAGAGACACATCGACTGGTTGCCTCCTGCATGTGCCCTGACCAGGGACAGGGAGCAAACCCACAATCTAGGTACGAGCCCTTGACTGAGAATTGAACCTGGGATTCTTTGTTTCCCAGGCCAATGCTCTAACCACCTAGCAACATAAGCCAGGGCAAGGCCAATGCCATTGGGAAAAAGAATGTGTTCTTTTTCTGTAGAGAAAAGGCATGCCACACCACAGCAAGGTTTTGGCCAGAAGGCAGAAACAGGAGTGAGAGGAAAGCTTAGGTCAGAGCCTTTGTTCCATGAGAAAGGCAAGACAGGGCAGAGTAAACCTTTAAGGACGAGCTAGTTTAAATAATTTTGGCAGGCTTTGGGCAGTAGGAATGGTCTCTAGTTGCCTGGTACCTGGCCCTGGGGTAATTTAGGGCAGGCTTTGTCTGTGAGAGTTAAAGGAGCTGGTTACTTTGCATATAAGAAGCTGCTGCCAATAAGTTGATTACTATCTTTAGGAATTAGCCCTGGAAAGAGCATTCTCCTCACCAGCAAGATTTTAAAATTTCATAAAATTCAGAAAAAAAATTTTAAGACATGATTAATGCACAGGGTCATGCTGGGATAATGTGAAGGACTGTTGTAAAGGTGGCACTTATTTTTCTCCAAGTTGAAAATGAGGGGCCTGCGTCTAATTTAGGACTTAAATCTCTTAGATTTAAGTTCTAGAAGCAGTGTGAAAATGGATCTGGAGTGGCAAGACTCAGGAGGCCCATTAGGAAGCTGCTATAATCTAGGTGAGAAATGAAGATGGCCTGAGGTAGCATTTGGAGTGGAGAGAATGAAGAAATATATTAAAACGTTTGAATTGTCACGACAATTCAAGCATTTCAAGTTTAAAATATTCCATAAGTAATTCCGTTGAGAATCTCAGGTTTAAGAAACACTCCCTTCTCTACACTTCAGCTAACTCATTTCACTTAAAATACTGTCTGGCCGTATTGGAAGAGAAGGGAAGGTTTTCCTCCCTGGCCTCTGGATTAGAAACTGATTGGTCACTACATTTACCCAATACCTACTGAACAAATCCTGTAGTCTGAGCATAAAAGAGATGCTAAAAACTGGGTGAGCGGTAATTACAAATTAGAGTTAGACATGGTTTCTCCCTTCAGGTAACAAAGTTCTGGGACAGCTTTCTCTGTGGGCCAACGTGAACCATGAGAGCCCCCTTTGGCCTGGACCTTCTTGTGACTTATCTCCAGCAGAAGCTCTGAGGTTTACATTCTTCCACTAGAATTAAGCTGAAGGACAATGTCCAGAAACAATGTTATTTCAATGGGAATACTACATGTTCCTGCCAGCATTTGTGGCAGAACTGCACTGCCAAAACACATAAGCCAGGAACATGAAGGAACATTTACTATATTAAAAGGTCAGGATTGTCCTTGTTTGATAAACCTTCCAAGGTTTAACAGGAAGAGAAAATGAATGCAGAAGTTTGTGGAAAAATTAAGACACAATGCCTAAGTAGAGGCTCTGTTTTCCATGCCCATAGGAGTAGATCATTTTTAGGTATAGGGGAAACAGGCAAAGGTTGAATATGCTATGATTACCACTTCCTCACCACCCTGGAATATTTTTGGAAACTTTTTGAATCTTCCACAGAGTTAATGTTTTAAACAGTTATGTGGAAGAAGTGAAAGGCCCTTGTCCCAGTTTCTGTGGTTTGGCTATAAATCAAAAAACCAAAACCTTCCTAGCTCCCTCTCATTTATTTTGACAATTGTTGGGTAGTGGGCAGATAGAACAAGGGAAAAATTGTCTTCCCACTGCTTTGGTCATATAACTTTTATTTACTGTTGTATAATAATGTTCTCTACACTACCAAAATTGTTGAAATCAGGAGGGGAGATAACTTTTACATGTCAAATTGGACAGAAGTCACTCTAAGTTATGCTGCTGTTCTGTCTACCACTGCCACCTTTTGTATCAGTTCTATTGGTAGGTGGGTTTATGGAGAGATTCCATGCAGATGTATTGGCCTCAACTGTAGAGAAGCATTTTCCCTAATAAAGTTGATAATGTCACTCATAGTGTGTCATCTTCCACTTACTATTAAGATGGCAGTACTCTCCTAAATGACCTACAGATTGAGTGTAATCCTTGTCAAAATTCCAATAGTTGTTTTTTGGTGTCTAGATCTGTTACTTCATTGGAGATTGCATAACAATGATATTCTAATTATAATTTTGTTTTCAAATATTAGCTGGAATAATTTTATAAGACCAGTCTTCCTCTTCTCTACTATTCAGTTACTGTGTTGTACAGGTCATATAGGAAAGGCAGGATAAATCTTTCCTTTGTCAGTTTTCAAAGTAATGAATTGGTTCTCTGTCATCCCCAGAAGGTGACCGGTTAGTTTTCTTTTTAAAACATCATGAGTGAGCCCAGCTGCGTGGCTCAGTGGTTGAGCATCTACCTATGAACCACGAGGTCATGTTTCAATTCCTGGTAAAGGGCACATGCCCAGGTTGTGGACTCTATCCCCAGAAGAGGGTGTGCAGGATCAATGCTTCTCTCTCATCGCTGTTTCTATCTCTCTCCCTCTCCCTTCTCTGAAATCAATAAAAATATATTTAACAAACAAACAAAAACATGATCAGCATCTCCCCCCTCAGGATCACACCTGCACCTTTCCCCTTCTTTTTCCCCAGGGCCGTTGCCTTTGCTTTTCTCTCTCCTAAGCGCCAAGAGCCCTTTGGTGTATATAACTTGTTTCCTGAGCCTACGCAGCCCAGTTAGCTCACTTCTACTCCTGTAACTTTCTAATAAACTTTACCTTATAATTTGGGGGGGGGAAAATGCACCATTATCAATTCGTGGATTTAAATTCATTAATAGTTTTCAATTCATTGAAGTTACTATTATTGAAGCTCAAATGATCCCATCTTTAGCCAGAGGGAGCCTCTTTAACTTGTCTCCTGATTTCTTTTGACACAGTCCTAGTAGTCATTGGGTGCTGCCCTGGTATCTGGTGTAGGGGAGACACACTTTTACCTTTACCCTCTTAGGGTTTTTTGTCTGGGTCAGATCAACAAGAGAAAAGCATACATATTTATGCAATGCAAATTATATGTGACACAGGAACCTCATAAGGAATGAATACTCAAAGAAATTACAAAATTTACTTGCTGTTATATTAGGTTAAACAGAGAGAGGCAATTGTGGAACGTGCCTAAACTAGTGAATTCTATGAAAGAATAATTATTTTTAACAAGGTTTGTTTATATAGCATGCTCTCAGTTTCAGCTTCTTGATGATAAGAATGTTACTTTCCTTCAGGTGTTGGGAGGACATATATGAGAATTTCATCTGCTTTTGGAAAAAAAAAAAATCAGAATGTTTTTCTTTTTAAAAAAAAAAAATATATTCTTATTGATTTCAGAGAGAAAACGGGAGGGAGAGATAGAGACATCAATGATGAGAGAGAATCATTGATCAACTGCCTCCTGCCACACCCCTTACTGGGGATCAAGCCTGCAACCCGGGCATGTGCCCCTGATTGGAATCGAACCTGGGGACTCTTTAGACCGCAGGCCCAGCTCTATCCACCAAGCCAAACCAGCTAGGGCCAGAATGTTTTTCTTGGAGTTGCAACATTCTGTATTCCTCCACTGGTATGTCATAATGTTTAGGACTCATATATTTCCTGACCCCACTGGTATGTCATAATGTGTAAGACTCATACATTTCCTGACTCCAAACTTGGAATCAA